GCCTTTTCCATCAGAGCAATCCCTCTTTGCACTCAGTGTGGTTCACATCTCTTCTAAATAAATAATTATAAAACCCTAGGCCCTAACCGAGAAAAGGGTTCCTTTTGTGTTCTGTGTTTGTTTTCATATGCAACTTCAGCTGTTCAATTAACTCTTAATGTTAGTTAGATTAAAACCTCAGATTAAAATGTTTTTGATTGAGATTTTATGTGAAAACAAACACAAAGAAGTACACACTTTCGATAAAAAAGGAAAATGGTAGATGTATTTTTTTTTATCTTTTGCAAATAATTTTGAAATTGAGCATACATCTATTTCCTCACCCTTATACTCAGATACAATAAAATAATATTTAGCATTAATTATGACATTAAAAACAAGCTTTTTGGCCATATTTGGCACATAGTTGTATCTATCCTCTTGAAATTGTTCCATCTTAAGTAGCTCCAGTGCAAGCACATCGTGTTTCATTAAAAAAAAAACAAAACAAAAAACCTTTAAAGCGTGTCATTCTCCTTTGGGTGAGAGCTGTTTTTAGATTGATCTGTCCGTCATTTTTTTCTCAAAACCCACAGATGACATGTCAGTGCAGCTGATTTGCCTAAGTTGCCATGTTGCCTTTATTGAAAAAGTGTTTACAACTGAAGATATAGCTATATCTGTTTAAAGCTCCCCTCAGAATGCTGGAGAGACAGGGTCAGAAAGCTAAAATGCATTTTGGGATGTCAGAAACTCATAAACAAAAGTTTAAAGATAAAGTACATGATAAGAACAATATTTCAATGTAAAATGCAACAGCACAATTTACTAAGAATTAAATCCACTTTAATTTTGAATTAAAATCATAGTCACCAAATCGAGTCAGTTAAAAGTGCATATTTTTTACTTGCTTTGAGTAAATAGAAAGAAACCTCCAGCAGAACCAGGGTGAGTGTGAGCGGCCATCTCCCGAGGCCAGGGTTCAAAGAGACGGAGCAGACAAAGACATAAATCAAAATAAGTTCTTTGGAGCTCTGGCCCAGGCAGAAGACTTTGATGCTGTGAATCAAACTACGCTTGGATGAGTAACCTGGAAAAGGAATAGAGTAGTCGTCCCCCCAGGGGCCGAACACTGGTGGTGAAATAAGCCAGAGGGTAAACTGGACTGAGAATTGTCTGAGAATGAGGAAGGAATTGGGATGGAGGTGGGTGAATTTTCACTTGGGTGCAGGAGAGAGAAGCAGCACCAGTAGCTACATGAGGGGGATTTGTAATTGTATTGCTTTGGAGAAGGTGTGGCCCCCCGAGCTAATTAGCTGAAGCTGAATGAGGGACATTGCAGGTGGTTTAGGTGAAACCGATAACAGTCTTCCAGATTTAATTTATGCTTAAGCTTCATTACCTGTGAAACGTCAGTGATGGTCTGCATTGCTTTTGTGTAGGTGGAACTCCACAAAACTTTGATCGATCAAACTTTGATTGACATAATTTGTTAGCCAATAAGAGAAGCTTTGCAATGAAGTACTTGAAGTGAAGGGGCAGACTGAAAATATAGTGTTTATTTATGTGAGAGGAGGGTAGAAATAATTGAAAAAACAACCAGCAACTGTGCCACTGAGCAGTGGGTAGCACTGCTGCCTTGCAATAAGAAGGTTCTGGGTTCGATTCCGGGCCCAGGGTCTTTCTGCATGGAGTTTGCATGTTCTCCCTGAGCATGTGTGGGTTCTCTCTGGGTACTCTGGCTTCCTCCCACAGTCCAAAAACATGACTGTTAGGTTAATTGGCTTCTCTATGTAAGGTTTGAGTGTGTGCATGAATGGTTGTTTGTGTCTGTGTTGCCCTGCAATGAACTGGTGACCTGTCTAGACTGAACCCCCCCTTTTGCCCATTGACTGCTGGATATAGGCACCAGCACCCCTTGCAACCCCAATTGGGACAAAAGTGTCAGATAATGCATGGATGGATGGACAGCAAAAATTCTGAAAACTAAAAATGTAAAAATATTGTTAAAGAAAGAGTTTGAAAAAAACAATGTGTTTAAAGCTACATGTAGAAAACTTTTTTTTTTTTTTTTTTTTTTTTT